TATGTGCATTAGCTGTTATCCGTTCTATGTTTCATCCCTAAATTGTAAACACAGACGGCAGAGTCGATGCAGAATGGGATAGGAATCATTAGTACAGTGCTCCACTCCGCCATGTTTTGAAGGAATATGTGACTTTTCGAAGGAAGATGAAGGAGAAAAAAAAGGGTGTGGAGGTGATGGTACGTGAAAGCGGTCTTCCGAGAAAAGCGCTTGACAAGACTTTAGTCGTTCTGGGATGTCTTTGGTATGAACATGTTGAACACGTCTTCCTGGACGTTACTACTTTCAGATCATTACCTCGTGTTACCTTACCGGCAAGAACTGCCTAAATATGAAATTTTTTAATAAAACTTAGCAGCTTTGTCGCAGTTCTTCTAATTTTTAATGCTTCGGCAATCGTTTCCGAGATCCAGTTTTTTATGAACTGATCATTGGTGTGTTTGCAGGGACGGTGCGTAATCTGCGGGGGCTCTGGTGTAAGCGATGCGTACTACTGCAAGGAATGTACGATAATGGAGAAGGATCGCGATGGTTGTCCCAAAATTGTTAATCTTGGAAGCGCCAAAACAGACCTATTTTATGAAAGGAAAAAATATGGTTTCAAAAAAACCGCCTGACACTTGCTGTTTTCAAAATCTTCTTGGCATGAATTTGTCATTCTCTTGATTTTTTGACTGGATCGGTAGGGAAGGGGGGGCAAGGGAGGGAAAGAGATGTTTGGTTTTTTTTACGAAGTTTTTTGATTTGAAATTTGAAAAGTACGACGGGAAAAGTACCCTTGTAGACTTCGCCAGTACTTACTATTGGCACGAACTACCACTCGGACTATTTACGAATGTCTTCATCGCTAGAGTAAATACGGATGAGATTTGGGTTTCTAACGTGAAATGCTTGCCGGTGTGGCTATAGAGCACAGGGTGATTAATAAATCACATCATTTTCGTTAACAGTCTCTCTGTATAGTTCAAGTATGTTGCTTTTACTGTAGCCTGTTGCCTCAGTGCATTGGTGGTTGGGCGTAATTTCTCCACTATTTAGGCATAAGGAAGCTTTCGGACAAAAAAAAAATCCTAGTTTATTTGACAAATTTAAACTTTTTGTACAAATCAAAAGTCAAAATATCCTTCGTATAGATTCTTTTCGAGAGGCGGAGTCACTTAAAAGTTGCACATACCAACAACAAGCACTCGCTGCAGGACTGTTGATAGC